CTCCTCCCAGAAAAAGCTCCCTGCAGCATCACACATGGAGCTTGGGGTCTTGCTCTGGGAATACTGAACACCCTGATCTGCAAGGAGCACTGCCAGTCCTGGCTATGGTCAAACCCCACAAAAAACAAAAGCCCTCTCTGGCCAGATGCATTTGGATGTTGAAAGAGAAAAGAACGTGGTTGCCACTTTTCCAGCTTCTCTTGGCACAAGGATTTTCCAGTCAGCCAGGACATCCTGAGGATGGGAAGCAGCACTGGACCACCTGCCTGCTGGCTGTGCTCATCAGCTGACACATCCCTCTGAGCACCAGCCTTTCCAAACACAGCCCTGAGGTTACACAAAGTGGTTTTGATCCCACCTCGGTGACCCCAGGGCTGCCAGGGGACCTTCTTCTGCATCAGAATGAGCTCCTTGTTCACATGAATCATAGAATGGTTTGGGTTGGAAGGGACTTTTAAAGGTCATCTAATCCAACCCCCAAATGAAAACGATGCAGTTTGGGCACGCTACCCTACAAACTCTCTGTTGAATGCAATAATCACACTCTGAATAACTCTGAGTTAGTCTGCAAAGGGAAAAAAAACCTCTCTAAACCTCATTGCTTTGCCCTTTTACCGTTTATGTACATGGTTGCTTAAGATATATTGAATAATTTAAACAACCCACACGCCATAACACGCCCTTGAATGTTTAGTTGAGCGTCCCCAAAATTTGCTTTGCATGTTTATCCCTCCATTTGTTTAGGAACATAAATGTTCCCTGACTTCGCCCTGTGCCTTTCAGCATTATTTTATGGAAATTCCGATTTCCTGCACTGAAAGAAGCCCTGATGATAATGAGAGGCTTGAAGCATTTCAAGCAACAATAACAAAAAAAAAGCAGTTTGAGTCAATTCTGCATTTTGTTCTTAATCAAAACTGGTTGCGTGCGTTTGCATCGACAATGAGCTGAGCACACAATGCTCCATATGGGCTTGGCTGCTGGCATTCTGTGAATGGCAGGAGCCACTGAAAGAGCTCCCTGGTTTTCAAAGATTTAGGGATGACCTTGTGAAAGTGTCATTTGTCACTGCCTCGTCCAGAATCACTAGAAAAATCCCTGGAAACAAGCTGTGGAATTGCAGAGCCCAATTCTCACAGGCCAGAGCAGCACAGCAGCACTCACTGACTGAGAAACAGCAGGAAATAAGAAACTGAAAGCCTTTAATGGAGCCCCAAAAGATTTTCTTTTTATGATTCTTTATCTGGATGTTGCTCTTCCACTTCAGATGTTACTCATTTCTCTGGCACGTTATTAGACCAAGTCCACCGTCAATAGGAATGCAAACAAGCTATGGTCCATTAACCTGGACACCTATTTGCAATTCTAAAGGGTCTGAAACACTTTGGAAAAAACCCACAAACTTTTACTGTTCCCCAGTTCGGGCCTGATCTCGTACAACCCCCTGCACGGTGATTCCGGGCGAGTTGTACCCAGGAGGGGGGATCCACATCCGTGCCATTTTAGGACCAGCTCCCCATTTTTGAGCACATTAACAGCCCCCACAAGGGCTGTGGTGCACAGACTTTGCAGGTCTGTTCTACAGAGCATGAACAATTAGGAGAAATAGGGACAGTGAGTCCCACAGGCATCCCCAGACGTGCTGTCGTGAGTGGCTGGACAAGTTCTGCTCAGGAAGGATTGATTTCCACTCATTTTGGTCTTGTGGCTGTGAGAGGCTTGCAAAACCTTTCACCTTCTTTCCCTGGAGTCATATATATTTTATGAGAAATTTAAGAATTACCTCTTATTAAAATGGGGATAGTGTAATTACCAATAAAAAGCAGATGTTATGGCACGACTAATGCTCGAAAATGTGTGTGCAGCAAGCACAACGTGCCGGCACATCCAGGCTTTTCACTGAGATAATAAACATTGTCTTTGTTGAAACGAACTGGCCAAGTCTCAGAGGTCTGAAGTCGCAGGGAAATCGCTGTGGAAAATGCTGAAAGGCTCCACAAAGGGCCAGCTTGGCTCCCACTGATCCCAGCACCAAAATGTAACTCCAGAAGGCTGAAGGGGAGACTCCCCATCCCTGTTCACCTTGACCTTGTCAGGAGGGGTCTGGAAAGGTGTCCTGTGAAAGCACCTTGACCCTCTGTGCTGAGAGCATCCTTCCCCTACAGGCTGTAATGAGCCATAATTAGTGATCTCCCTGACACCTCCAGCACCTCTCAAGGGTCCACAACCCACCTGCAGCAGTCAAGATCATTCCCTTGGATCCCTCCCAAGGATTTTGGCAAGGCGTGCCGGGAGCAATCCGCGTAGGCTGACTATTGAAACAGGAACGTGCAAACAGCATGGAAATGGAGTTCAACAAATCTGCTCAGGCAATCCCAGGGTTCACAAACTTCTGCTCAGCTCAAAACTTCCTCTCTCTTCCTTTCCTGAAAATTGCATTTGTTGCTCTCTACAATGAGCTGAAAGGAGGTTGTGGCGAGCTGAGGGTCGGCCTCTTCTCCCGGGGACCCAGACATAGCACAGGGGGATACAGCCTTGAGTTGAACCAGGGGAGGTTCAGGTTGGACATTAGGAAAAACTTCTTCGCTGAAAGAGTGGTTAAACATTGGAACAGGCTGCCCAGGGAGGTGGTGGAGTCACCATTCCCTGGATGTGTTCCAAAAACAAGTAGCCATGGCACTTTGACTGGGGGTATTCAGTCGTTAAGTTGGACTTGATGATCTCGGAGGTCTTTTCCAATCTTAACAATTCTATGACTCTGTTACTTTTTGGCGTAAAAGAATCTTTAAAGACACACTCGATTTGCAAAAGAGCCTTTGCAGCTCAGGAGGAGCGTTTGGACATCGGGGTGTGGGTGTAAATCTGGGGACACAGGGAGGATCTGTGCCTTGGATGGGGGAGGCTGCCAGGGCAGCGGGAGCTGGAGGTGGAAGCTCAACAAGCAGAGGTGCAGGAGGGCATGCAGGGGATGCCTGTGGGACTTCTGTCCCTATTTCTCCTAATTGTTCATGCTCTGCAGAGCAGACCTGCAAAGTCTGTGCACCACAGCCCTTGTGGGTGCTGCTAATGTGCTCAAAAATGGGGAGCTGGTCCTAAAATGGCACGGATGTGGATCCCCCCTCCTGGGTGCAACTGGACCGGAATCACCGTGCGGGGAGTTGTGCAAGATCAGGCCTGAAGTGGGGAACAGTAAAAGTTTGTGGGTTGTTTCCAAGTGTTTCAGACCCTTTAGAATTGCAAATAGGTGTTCAGGAGGGCCTGGGACACCACAGCAGCCACAGGCTGGTGCTCAACCCTGCCTTCTCCTCTTCAAATCCCAAGTTTTGGAGTGTCTGAGTCCTCTTTTGTCCCAAAGCTCATGCCCTGCCCAAAGCCTGGTGGTTCAGAGTGTGCTGGAGGCAGCAGAGGCATCCCCATTTTTTCCTTAAGTCCCTCCCACCTTTCCTCTGCACACAAAATGCCATATTTCAATTTAAAGAGGTAAAAAAAAAAGCAAAGTCTCCAAATCCTCAGACTGTTGTTGGCCCTGTGGGAGTGTGAGCTCGCTGGAGGAAGCTCCAGCCCTGGGCTGGGATGTGCTGCAGGCTGGGGGGGTTTGTTCACTCTGGTTTGTACCAGAATTAGCTCTACCATTCTGAGGAGTGAAACCAAGGCGTGTGCACGAGCAGCCTTGACAGCAATTAGTTCTGGCAGAATCTTTGTGGCAATGAATTTCAATGATGCTGGGGTTTTGGGTGCCTCAACACTTCATTAGCTGCTGGTCTATCACACTGATGCAGCTGAGAAATCACATTATAATAAACCACTTTTTACTGCAGGCAGCAACCAGGATAATAAATGGGATGAATAATAATACAGTCCATTCAAAATTGTTCCTGTGCTTTCGAGCTCTGGAATGTCAGTAAATAGATCAAATACTATGCAGGGATGAATCTTATTCTGAATTTCTCCATTACCCAGGTATTTATGATAATTTTTAATGTACTGTCAGAGGAGCTGCTCCAATCTATTACACTTGCCAGTTAAACTCTGAAATACATACATGTTGAGCCAGTAATAAGAAAAATCATCTATGATTTAGCAAAAAAATATTTTAGGTCTAAATGGAGGAAAATAGATGATAACTATTTCAGTGTGAAATATCACTGTGTCTGTTTCTATAGATTTACAGGATACATTCTTTTTTTTAAAGTATGGAAAGACATTATTTAGAAAATAACTTAAAAATCAGAACAATACATGGCTGAAAAATACCTTAAAAGGCACAACTGAGGCATTCTCATGCTTTCTTCTGTGTTTATGAACCAGAAATGAATTATTATATGGGCAAATATTGGGAGAGCAATTCAACACAAGCTGATAGTGATAGGACAGGGGAAATGGTTTTAAACAAAAAAAAGGAAAGATTCAGATCAGATGTTAGGAAAATGTTCTTTACTCAGAGAGTGGGGAGGCTCTGGCACAGGTTGCCCAGAGAAACTGTGGCTGCCCCATCCCTGGAAGTGTCCAAGAGCAGGTTGGACAGGGCTTGGAACAACCTGGGATAGTGGAAGGTGTCCCTGCCCATGGCAGAGGGTGGAACTGGATGATATTTAAGTTCCCTTCCAGCCCGAACCATTCTGTGATTCTATGATTATGTCACAGCAAAATGGAATGTTCCTTGTCACTGTCTTTGCAGGGTTTGGTATGGAAATGAGAAAATAAGCACGAATCTGATGCTGTTTCTGTTAAAATTTATCCTCTGGAATGTGTCACTTTGGCTGCTGGTCACTTGGTTGGAAGTCCATCTAACAGGCTCTCCCTCACCAGTGAAGGAGGTGGAGGAAGGTGCTCTCTGCTACCAGGGCTGATCTCAGCAGTTCAGTACCTCACTGGCAGGGATAAAAGCAACTGATGCTTCTTTAGAAAGAAGCCAGGCCATCTGTGAGCATCCCAGTAAAGCCTGGATGGCCACAAGCCTGTCCTGGGGAGCAGGAAAGGGTCAGCTCTGCCAGCAGGGAGCTGGGGGTGGGTGGGGTGTTCCCCCTTTGTGATGCTACCCCAGAACCCCATTCCCATGGCAGCCAGAGACACGGGATGATTCTCTCCCCACTGGCTTTCCCTTCTTGGATTCTTCCTGAATATTTGGTAACTATAAAAATGTCTTTTTTCTCACCCTGGTGAACAGGTGGGTGGCATTTATGTCAATGTGGAGATTCAGGACCATTTGAGTGAGATATTTGTAAGATATCCTTTAAATGCGAAAAAAAAGCCCCTTAGAGACAGGGCTTTAGATAAGGAAAAAAAGCAGAAGAAAATAAATGTAGATGGGGAATTAACAGCACCAGAGTGGCAAACAGCCAAGAGCAGACAGTTTCTAGTACAAAAATATTTGTGTGTATTTATCTATAACAGCAAGATGACCTTTTCTTCCCCAGTGAAATAGTGTCTTATGGTTGTGATGATCTGATAAATTAGCCTTTCAAATAAAGACTGACATAAAAGTGGAGTCGAATTGAAACATCAAGTTCAAACTCTTTCAGAGACCTGAATTGCATCTGCCTGTTTTGGTTGTATGGAAAATCAAAAAGAATGTATCTGGAGGAGAGGAAGATTCTACAGTTTGTTTTTTTTTTTTCAGGCTTTACCCAAATTTTAATGTTCTTCCATTTCCAGAACGCTCACAAGCACTGTTGATCTACCAAGATTTTCAGGAGACCATAAATCACCCTAAATAGCCCAAGCCTGTGGGAGTTCCTTGTCTTTGGCCTGGAATCTGCCAAGGCAGCTCATGAAAGCTGATGTAAGTTAAACCTCAAATGAGGTACAAACACTGTCTCTGTGGGCCATGGTTTCATACAGTGCCAAACTAGTAGGCTGTGGAAAATCAGGTAGCAGGGTGTGGAGACTTTGTTTTTCAAGCTTTGTTCTTGCTGCTTTTCATCAACACAGAGAAAACATCAAACATCAATCATATTTTTCTGGTGTGAACTGCTAAATCCTGCTTGAGAGGAACTAACTTGGTATTTACATTTAATTAAAAACCCTACATGAGGAAACATTTTAAGACTGAAGGAGAAAGACAATGTGAAATCCTTGTGATCCTCAGTCCTCTGACTGGCCTCATTCTCCCCCAGCAGTGGCCGAGGTGCCAGGCCCTGGGTGTTCAGCAGAACAGATTAACATTGATGGTTGATTTTGCTTGTGGCTCTTTGCCCATTGACAGCATCATTTTATCATATTTAATTAAATACAAATTCATTTCAGGACCTTCCAGGAGGATAAAACCACATCCCTGTCACCCAGCCCGGGAGTCTCGGATCACATCCTGCTGAGCGCAGAAAGTCCTGAAGGCTTCAGTACCAACCTCCTGCTTTGCAATGAGCCATTCCCAGGTTCCCTGGTGCTGGATCTCGCATACCTGCCCTACTACAGAACATCTGATGTCTGTATCAGCCCATCTTCCTGCTCTGCATCATCACACACCCTCACAGAAGCAGAAGAAAGCTCCGAGGAAGGCAAGGCTGACACCAAGCAGGATGAGAAAGTGAGTTATTCAGCCACCTCCACAGGATATTTTCTGTACTGCAGAACATATGAAGAGCTTCTGGGCCAACCACCCACATGTGGATTAACTGTATGGTTAAATTGGGTTAAACACCTGCAAATTAGGGGAGGTGAACTCTCCTTTAATGTTTCTCACAGGAGTAGGAAGGGAGGAAGAGAGGCAGGCACATCTCACACCACACTGTTCCTCAAAGTTAGGGCCTTAGGAACAAAGTGATGTCTTGTGCCCTGAAAACGTGATGCAGGAGCAGAGCTATCTGCAAGGAGGAGATAACTAGGGCAGCCCTGGCAAGGTCCCTGTCCCTTGAAGCAACTTGTGGACCCCAGACTCCTGCTGTGTGGGACACTGCTGCTCTGATGGGATCTGTCCCACTGCTGTCCCTGCTGTGTCCCCAGGGGCAGTGCAGTTCCCATCTCTTGAGCCCTTAGCTCTTGGTCCTGTACATATTTTTTTCAGAGCATCCCACCAAGTCTGGAGTTGAGCAAGAGGACAGTTTCTCCTCCAACCCACGGAAAGAAACCATCCCAACAGCTCCCATCAGGAGCCAGCAGCTCTGAACTCTGCCCGCCCTCCTCCCCCAGCAGGCTCCCACCCCTGAGCCAGCCCCGTCCCCCCAGCGGGTACTTCCCTTACTACAGGACAGAGGGAGAGATCTGCACTGGCCCAGCTCATGGAAATGGGACCTTCACTGGGACAGAAGGTCCGGAGACCAAGGAGGGAAGGCAGAGGGGAGGAGCAGGTTTTTGGAGTCTCAGTGCCAGCTGCTCGGTGTGCTGAGAAGAAAGCAGGGGTGTTGTGGACAACATGAAAATCTGCATGAATATGAAATATGAGTATTCATGGATTGGATATGAAATAAAAATATTCATTCTCTCTAACAAAACAACAAGTGATAACCCAGACTGTGTAACGACAAGAGAAAGAAGCAGAGCAGGAACTGACTGATCTGGGGAAATCCAAATAGATTTGTTCTAGAGGTGAGGAAGAGAAGTGTTTTACTGTGGCTAATCCCAAAGGAGAGATGCTCACTCAAGGGATGTGTAGCTATGGGAAATGGCTAATGGGGAAAAAAAAAAGAATTATTTAAATCTAAGCTGCTTGGAGGAATTAAGCAGAGACATAATTTCCAGTAGGGATTGGGAAATACATTTCCTTTCCTCCTCGCTACAATCCTTCCATTGTTTTACTGGCATCTGTTAGACCTGGTTACTGTGCACAACAGCCATACACAGGAGAAAAAAAAGCCCAAAACATTTTTATTTAAATTCTTTGTCAATAAGATTTTTTGAACACATTTCCATTATGTCTGTCTTCATTTCACTTGCACAGTCAGTAATGAAAATCCTCCTGATTACTTTAATATGTGCAACTATGAGCTCCTATAAACATCAGTTTTGACTCTGGAAATCTGGGAAACAGCATCCAGACACAATTTGGCTTTGGTGAATCTGGACTGATTTACACCAGATGAGGATTTGACCAAAAAGGTTCAGCTTGGTGTTTCCTTTGCAGTTGTGAAATCTTGCAACATCCTCTCCTTGCTGCCAACTATGTCACCTCTTTGAGACACCACACCAGTTGATGAAACACGGCCCTTTCCCATCCCTGTGCTCTGCACAGGCAATTCCTGCTCAAAACAGAGGAGTTTATTCCAACCATTTAGTAAATCTTGGAGTGCTTCTGTAGGGATGACACTGGTGTGATGGTGTATGGATAGGCTGGATCTAAATGTACCAGTGTCACCTATTTTCTCTTAAGGAACAAAGGAGCAAAACACAGCATTTTTAGTTATTTCACATCTCCATGGTCAGACCAGTTTTCCCTGTGCTGAGTGTGACAGAGACCAGGAATCCTGCAAGGTACATGATGGTTGGGATAATAATTTCTGCCCACACTGCACTTTTGTGAGATTTGACCAGCTGGGAAGGGATTTTAGTTGGGTGCTAAAAACCAGCAAAGCTCCCAGACTGGAGCTTTGATCCCAGTCTCTCTGGGACTGCTCAGGATGAAGTGGTGCCTCACCTCCAGGTTTTTAGAAAACCTGGGTTCAGCCAAACTGGTAAGAATTCATCCCAATGTCCACACACAGCTGCCCCAACTGGAAACAGGAATGCCTTCTGCATCCCTGCATCCCCACAGCACCTCAGCATCATCCTGCCACCTTCCCACTGGAAAACAATCTGACTGGATGAAATAAGTTTGACTCTATGAAACAGCTTCTGGTTTTAAGCACAAAGAAAACTGATTGAAAGAAAGCCATGAAAAATACAGTGAGATTATCCAAACTCAAGGGAGTAGGCAGAGGAGGGAAGGAATTCTCTCTGAAAAGCAGGTGTGGTTTGTTCTGAGAATATTAAATTCAGCATTTCCATAAATTTGGCATATTAAAATAGCTTCAACTCTGGAGCATCAAATCCACAAATCTGCCTGACTTCTACTAGATAGAAAATAGCTGCTTTCTATTGGCTGTACTTGATAATTTATGGGAACAGTGAACATCAAAAATCAAGGATTTGGGAGATGAGTATTACAAGCTTTACGCTTATGGATCAGAGAAGCGTAATTTTAATCAAAAGCTGGCAAATATCATATCATATGTTGCCATCTTGAAGTTGGAGCTGAACCAAATTCGCGATTTTAATATATTTTCCATGCAGAGGTAAAAAGGAAGGGATGGAGGGCAGTGTTGGAAGCTTCTGGGTTTCTCTCCAAGGCTTATGCTGCTTTATTGCTTTTCCACATAGTTAACATCCTGCACACAGGCAGCAAAGGATTTTTCTCGAGCTGCTCTGTGGATCAGGCTCTGCCTCAGTGAGGACATCACGTACCCCCCCTTCAAGAGAGGTCCCTGTCAGCCCAAAGTAACAAACAGTTTGGTTCAGCCTTATGTACTGGTAATGCATTTCCTTTCATCTCTCTGTTTGAAAAAATCCATAATTATTGCTCTAAACCTTCAGTACTTCAATACCAGCAGCCCTCTGGAGTTTGAAAAACAATCTGCAATTACTTTGATGCCTGCTGTGTAGTCGTCATTGATCCCCTTTAAGCTTTTAATCTCATGAATTCACAAACTTGATTCATAAAACAAGCCAAACAAACCACAGCAAAATATCCCCTTTAACAACAAAACTGGTGATGACTGGAGATGTCTTTGGGGACTTCTTATAATGCAGGTTCTCCTTTCTCAAGAGCTGACGTCAGATTTCGTTTGGAAAGGGGGGAAAGGATTTAGTCACACTGTTTGGTAATCTGTGTACCCCTAAGGAAAAACCTACTTCAAAGTAAATAAAAAGACTCACAGAGACATGGCAGGGCATAGAATCTATCTCTGAAATCACACAGAAGATACTTTCTTTAGCAAAGCACTTCAAGCCTTAAGATCTAGACCCAGAGGTTCCTAAAATCAATAAGAAACCTCCCTCAGCCTCACCAAGGTGGATCTTGGGGCTCCAATCTCCCTATCTGGGATAGAGCAGCAGGCTGAAATACTCTTTTTATAAATCTGAACCCCAGAAAATGCTGTTTTAGGGAGAAAACAAGCTCCCCAAGGTTTAAATGTATTGATGTGTCCCCTGCCCCAAGGACTGTGGTTGGCTGAGCTCTCCTTTCTCTCCCAAATCCTTATTGCGTCAATGTATTAATTAATAACTTTACTTTGAACTCCTAGAAACTAGAAATGAAGCTTTTGGCAAGCAGAATTTATCTCAGAGCAGCAGAACTCAGCATTAAACAAAGAAGCTTAAACAGGTCCCTGCCCAGCAACGTGATGGGGAGGAATGGAAGTGAGTCATTAACATGAAACCACCTGGCTTCCTTTCAGAGCTGTATTTATGGACAGTGATTAGAGAACACCTTGAATATAAACCTCTATGCAAATATCAGCACACACACATCCCTGGCTGAGCCCAGGGAGGGGGGAACCACACAGCTCTCCTGCTGGGACAGCCTAATCCAAGATTCTGGGGTTTGCCAGTGCAGTTTAGGAACCACATCAGGGATGAGGGACCGTGTTCTGCCGAGCAGGGAGAGGTTGAAGGTAGTGCCTGAGGGCTGTGCTGAATGCTAATCATGAGCAGGAACACGTGGAAATGCAGAGGAATGAAGAAGCAAGGGATGCAAGCTCCAGGGATCCACAGGGAAGCTGGTGCAACAGGAGGGAAGCAGCTGTGCTTCTGCCACACCTGGACCCTGGAAGGGATCTGATTAGTCTGTCCTGACACACAGACATATATCTGGATCTACCTGGAGCTGTATCCTAATGAATGTGTTTGGACCCCAAGTGAGGCACCTGCCCAGAACAAATGCTCCCCAAAACACAAAGAAAAGGGCTGGGCTGGATGAAGGCACAGGCTGGACTCGTGTGCAATCCTTTCTTGGATACAGGTGGGAAGGGATGATGAAAAAGCAAACAGCCCACTGGCCTCGGTAATCCCCCATAAATCCATCTGTCCCCACCCCAGTGCTACCAGTTCTCATTAACTCCCTCCAGGTTCCCAGCCTGCTGGGGACACTTTTGCCTTTCCCAGGAAGGCAAGTGATGGGATTTGCAGGTGTGGGCAAGGTAGAAATACCTGCACCTGATCCAAGTTATGCAGTCTTTGACTTCTGCAGCAATCATTAGTCTCACACATGGAAAAATGCATGTGCTGTGTGTTTTAGTTAGCAGCCTTTTATCAAGGCTGGTGTTCTTGGGCTGGTTCCTGCTACTGGTAGGTGTAAAGAGGGAAATGCATTCCCCAGGACAGCTGTACTTCAGGATCACCTGAGCTGTGCACTCCTCCAGAATCATGTTTGAAATGCACACACTGTGCAGGGGAATGGCTGTGCTTCTGCTTTTCTGAGTAGCTACCCCTGTGCATGAGGGAGAACTTCTGTACTGGGAGGGTGACTGAGCACTGGAACAGGCTGCCCAGAGAGGCTGTGGAGTCTCCTGGAAATGCCCAAAAGCCTCCTGGACACAGTCCTGAGTAATGTGGTCTAGGGGATCCTGCTTGAGCAGGGAGGTTGGACTAGATGAGTTCCAGTGGTGCCTTCAAACCTGAACCATTCTGTCATTCCTGTGCTTTGGTCACTGTGCTGGGCACGGAACCTGCACCACCATCCCCTGCACTCTGGGGGGAAACTGGGGCACCTTCTGCTGGGTATTGCCTGAGAAAAAGATAATGCCAAAGCCTAGGGTGGCACACAGCTACTTCTGCTGCAATTACACTGAGGAATAAGCACACACTGTGATGGCTTGTAGCAAGCAAAGTTAACAAAGGCAAGCAGATAAAATGGAAATTCTTGTTGGAGCAAGATCGGAAGGAGACTGGTGACAGGAGCAGTGCAAAGGGTGCGTGGTGGAGAGCGAGGAGTTAAGGTTGCCTGGCTGACCAGAGCTGTGAAAAGAGACATCAACCTGCCTGGGAGGAGGCAGTGGCCTCTTTCCCACTCCAAAGCTCTGCAATGGCTGAGACATCAAAACCCCAACACAATATAAACCTGAACAATGGGGTCTGACAGCTGCAGAGTGTTTGAACAACTGCCTCAGAAGGGGAAGCTTGTGAAATCCTCTATATCCCACTGGAGCATGGGAGTTGCAGCTTTTCCTGGTTTCTGGGGCTGCGTTTTCCCTGGACAGCAGAGTTACTGACAGTGTGGGGTGAGATGGGTCCTGTCAGCAGAGGGGAAGCAGAGGGAATCCCCCAGCAATACCAGGCCAGGAGCTGCACCTCCACTTTCTTAAGCCAGAGACTGTGCCCCTGCTCCTCCCTGGTCCCATCACATCCTTCCAGGGACCCAACACACAAATGGGTGCTCTGGGTCAAGGTGACAGGGTCTCACTCCAA